GGGAACTGCAGACCACGCAGCGATCAGAGAACCCCGGAGTTCCGGAGGCCTAACCTGAACGCGCGACGACCAGCGACACGTGGCAACTCCCGACAGACGGACTCATCGGAACCCCACCTACCCCGAAGGGACCCGCCCCCGAACCGCTGTCCTCGAAACCAATGGCTCGCTCGGTCTTGAGCGAACCACGCATACCCTTGTAACCCGAAGACGCCCTCGCCGCCAAATTGCACTCGTGCCCCCGAATGACCCTGTCACAGGAGATCTCAGTTCTGACCTGGGACTCCACTTTCCCCAAAAATCCTTGGCACACCCCTTTTCGCACTTCCAGGCCCACATCCCACTCCGATCAGGAAGTCGCGCTGGGCGTGAGGTTGGTATCAGAGCCCGACACGTGGTTGGGTCTTAGGATTAATAGCACGCTAATTAGGCGATCTGGCTAACCGAGGGCGGCCTCGCCCCTGGAATGTGCATAGACGCGACCCTATCGTCACCCGAAGCAGATCGGCTAAGCGACGAGCAGCCAATATGGCTGCTAATGTGCAAAACCCAAATCCGCAACAGAATGCTAATCAACTGAATCCTAATCAACCCGCCCCACGAGCACGGGCTCCCATGACGCCACCTGATCTCTATCTATTTGATCCAGCACATCATCTCGCAGGAGCATGGCTGGCCACGCTCAGAGCACAGCAGTATGATGACAACGAAGCAGAAATAAATGTTCGATTAGGAGGGGACGCTCATCATTGGTTTAGTACCTATGTATGGGTTGATCTTCCGACCTTCGAACGGGATTTCATGAATCGATTGGATTATGTCCACCCAGAGCAAGCACTCTACATGATCAAAGACCGAGTACAAAAACCTCTCGAGTCTGTAGCAGAATATCGAAACCGGTTCTACCGAATGTTTGTGAAAATTGAGCGAGGCGAACAAGTCGGGAGGGATTTGTTCATTGATGGGTTTCGCACTCGAACGATAAGGGCTAACTTGCAAAAGCAATTTTCCCCCATCACTCACACTCTGCAACACATCATGGCTGCTGCGGAAGAAATGGAACGGAAGTTCGCGGCGAACTTCCTGGAAGGAGAAGATTATTCTAGAGAAGGAAATTCATCCGAACTCTTACGAGCGAGAGCCGAGCTGGTTGCGTTACAGAACAAGTTTGAAAATATGGGATTTGTGTCTGGGCCCGTCACCTATCTGGAGCAGATAGGTCCAAAACGACCAAACCCAAGTGAGATCCCGAGTATTCCTGTTCCTGTGATACCAACACCCGTAAGGACGTTACCCCCGCCACCCGTTGAAAACCCGACAAGAACCAACGAGTCCACTGCTATCTTTGAGCTGACCAAAACATTAATTAACCTAATTCAGGAAAGCAAAAAGGAGCAGCGAGAGCACAATGCTCGGTTGGAAGCCATGATGAGGAACATGCGGCCCATTGCGGTGCGTGCCCCTCCGATTCAGCAAGGGTTAGCCCCGGCACCCGCTCTTGGAGGGGTCGCAAGCAATCTGAACGTCTGTTATGCATGTCATCAACCAGGGCATCGAGTCCGTGATTGCCCTCACAGGCCTCCGCAACAACGTGTCGGGGTCGCGCCGATGGCCGCGGCCCCCATCACTAACGGACCAGGACGAGTCGGAGCTTTAATGGAAGAAGTAGAGGGTGGGGGAAGTGCCCTAGCCACCACGGAAGATGCCGTTGAGCTCATCCCGTTAGATCAGTACGTATCACTTGGTTATCCCGGGCTTGGAATGATCGGAACGATCAGACCAGCACCAGAACAAAAGGAAGTGGCGGAGTGGCGAAGTGGCGACCCTCTCCAGGAGAAATGGAGTCGGGAGGACCTACCTTCGTCACAAGGGAAATCGACGTGTTAAACATCATCCAAGCTTTGGACCATCGGATTCCGCTTTCGATCGGTCATCTGCTCTCAATCTCTAAGCAAGCTAATGAGCGAATGCTACAGCACTGCAAGGCGAACCGAAAACGATTCGCCCTCACCCGAATACCGAACGTAAAGCCTAACAATCCCGCACCCGAGGAAAACCCGGCTGGCACTTCAGATCCGATACGAATAGGGTTAATCTAGAAAGACGATCATTTCCTACGAATTAAACCCATCCCGTGGAAGTCCGCAGAATGCGACATTGAAATTTGGGGAATTCCTTATAACGCAATAATAGATTCGGGAGCTGCTGTTTTGGCTATTTTACTAAGAGTGGTTGAGAGGGCAGGTAGGAAAAACGATCTGATCATGCTTGCCGAAAAAGATCAGCTTGTCTCGGCGGACGAAAAAAAGATTAAGACAGTGGGAAGAATGACCAATGTCGACTTTTGATTAGGAAAGGTGCACGCATTGGGAGATGTTGTGGTATTAGACGTAAATACCTACGACGTTCTTTTCGGACTTCCCACTCTCGTGGCATTAAGAGCGAGCCTGGACTTCGAACGACGATCGATTATCCTCCAAAATACGGGAGGAAAACCTTATGCTGTACCTATGAGATTAACCCTTCATACTACCACTAATGCCGTCCCACGGGTCTCGCCGATGTTAGCAGGAACTCTCCGTATGATCTCTTGGGAAGAGTCTGCGGACAGCGAGTCATCAACAAATGATGCGGACAGCAATGATGAGGACGATCCGGAAATCTCGAAGCTAGCACGACAGCGTGTTTACTACCCGCCACCCAGAACGATAGCAAGAACGATGCATCTGACCAATCAGAACATTCAAAGGACCGAGGCGATGATCTTGGGAGAACCCCTCGTACAAATTTCGAGGATGGTTGATTCCTTGGAACCCCCTCAAACCTTGTACGAAGGAATCACCCCTCTCTTGGCCCGGTACAGTGACAAAAAACATTACTGCGATATTACGGATCTACCGAAGTCCCTGTTAACATCCGCCAAAGAAGTACGGTTGCTACGCCTGGGGGCAGAAGCCAGTTCTTTGGAACCCCCTGGGCGTCTTGAGGCAGAATCAGACGAACTCGGAATAAAGATCGCAACTAAAACCGTGTCATGGCAAGATATCTATGACGGGATCACCCCGGAAGAGCACGCGGCCATCCGAGAGGAATATGCCCAAATGATGGCCACGGTGTTCTCCTGGCGGTCGGACCATTCGTTCATCTCTGCGCCACCACCCGACGTGGTGAAACAGGCATGTACAAAGCAAGTCGACGTACGGATCTAGGATCAGCTTTTTCAACTGCACGTTCCGCAGTATGTGCCTAATGAGATTCATCGGGTGATCACGGATATTCTGACGGAATATCAGGGAGCGATTAGCGTGACAGACACTGACATTGGCTTGTCGTTAGTTATTCAACACGAAATTCAGACGAGAAATCATTCCCCAATCCACTGCAAGCCCTACCGATACTCCCTTATAGAACGCAAAAAGGCTCTCGAACAAATTCAGGAATTCGAAGTCACCGGGTGGATTGAACCCGCCACCGGACCATGGTCATTTCCCGTAGTGTTAGTGCCGAAGAAAAACGGATCAATTCGCATATGCATCAATTATCGCAAGTTGAATGAAATCACGATTAAAGATGTGTATCCCCTCCCCCAAATTGATGATTTGTTGGATGCGATTGGTTGCGCCAATTATTTTAGCAAGTTCAATATTCGGCATGGGTTCCATCACATTTTGGTGAAGGAGGAAGATCGGCCAAAGACGGTCTTTGTGTTGTTTGAAGGCACGTGGCAGTGGGTTCGGTGTCCGATGGGGATTTGCAATGCGCCTGCCACGTTTCAGCGAGCGATGAACATGACATTCCAGAACTTCGTCAACAAGACGCGACTAACACATGGGATGATCAACTTCTGCGTGATCGTGTACATGAACGATATCCTTGTCTACTCGGAGACCTATCACGGGCACGCGCAACATATCGAGTGGACATTGGGAGCGCTTAGAGATGCTGGGTTCAAAATCGCGCTCGAAAAGAGCGAATTTTTCCTTTCGGAAATTCCGTTCTTAGGCTACGTCGTGACACGTGGAGGACTGCGGCCGGACTCAAGAAACATTGCGGCGGTAAGAGAAGCCCCAGTTCCCACGTCGCTGATGCAGGTTCGAGCCTTCTTGGGGTTGGCATCGTACTATCGCCGCTTCATCAAGGGTTTCGCCGCGATTGCACGACCACTAACGAACCTGTTACGGAAGGACCAGCCTCTCAGCTGGGACCCGGAGTGCCAACAGGCCTTCGCGACCCTCAAGGACGCTCTAGCGACGGCTCCTATTTTGATCCGACCGGACCCCTCTAAGCATTTCATTCTCATCACGGACTGGCAACCGGAAGCTATCTCCGCTATTGTTGCGCAGAAGGGGAGCGATGGTCGTGAACACGTCATCGAGTACGCATCGCACACGGTACCGAACGAGCAGAGAAATGACTCTGCACCTCAAGGCGAATGCTATGCAGTAGTCTGGGGAATCCAACACTTTCATCCGTATTTCTACGGACAGAAGTTTCGCCTCGTAACAGATCACGAACCTTTGTTGGCGTTGAAGAAGCTCACTAATTACACAGGCATGATTGGTCGTTGCGCGGTGCGACTACAAGAGTACGACTTCGATATCGTTCATCGGAAGACAGAGCAACACGGCAACGAGGACGGATTGACACGTCTGCATCGACCTGCTAAAGTAGCAAAGGGCGAGGAAATTACACCGTGGAAGGAGCCGGACTTGACAAACGAGCCTAAGTACGGACAAGTGGTAGTTCTCCCACGTGGCAAAAAGCAGAACGGTGACAATGGGTGATGGAGGTAACCCCATTACCCCTCTTTCTACCCTCTCCTCTTCGTCTCTCCTCTCCCTGCCTGACAAATTTTGCTATTTTTGCGAAGCTATCTCCCGCGTGTACTCGGTCTCCATGCGTTCTAATGGGGAAGGGTATGCGGAATGGATAGATTGTCGACAGTGTGTCGCACGAGCCCATGGCTCGTGCATCCAATACAGAAACGACAGTAAACCGTGGTTGTGCCCCTTGTGTCAGACTGACAAGATTCCGACCGAGGCTCGCTTTTTGGATGCCACGTCAGAAGGGTTGGAAAAAACCTGGAAGTTTAGAAGGGCCGAAGTATGGACTGATATCGCCTTGATTGCCACCTTAGTGGGTAACCCCCTCCAGAATTTCACCAGGGAAGATCGGAGGAGGGCTAACGAGAGGGCTCGGGATTATCAATGGATAGAAGGTAGGTTAGAAAAACGGGAAACAGACGGCAGTGGGATTTGGATGGTTGTACCGCATCCATTCATGAGGTATGACTGGGTTAAGACGGCACATGAAGAAACTGCGGCTCATTTCGCCGTACGGATCACGGAGTCGGCTATCGACAAAAATGAGTGGTACTGGTCCAATATCCGCGACGATGTGAAGTACATCGTCGCCAACTGTCAAGTTTGCGCCGCTGATAAAACGCCGATTCAGCCGTCAAGATCGATAGTGCCAACGGTAGTTGAATGGCCATTCCAAAGAGTCAGCATGGATACCACCGACATAGTGGTGCCCCCTGGTCCTAATAGTTGTGAGTATTCAGTCCTGTTGGTATTCGTCGACCATTTTTTGAAATGGATCGAGGCCTACCCTTGTCCACGCGGCAAGCTGCTGAAATCCCACGATACGTCAACCGTTTCCTTGGGGTGCACCAGGTTACGAAAGAGATCTTGACCGATAACGGGGGTGAATTTAGGGGAGAGGTACTGAGGAATCTGGTCATACATGGCGTCGCCATACGGAACACTGCACCCCACATGTCACAGTCCAATGGGCTGGCAGGTAGAAAACACGAACAGGGTGATAAAGATAGCGTTGCGACGAAATATCGCGGCACAGGATTCGAGGCCCTGGCCCGATATCGTCGACCACATCCTGGCGGTTCATCGCGGTACACCTCATGAATCGACGGGGCTAAGTCCCTTCCAATTAAGGACCAATAGCATCGCTTGCGTTTCGATACCAAGCCTCCCGGATGAATCTATACTGAACCGGCAACCCACCAGGGCCACGGCTCGGGATAAGGCCAAACGACACTTAGAATTAATGGAACGGTCTCTGCTCAGGCTAGCTCGAAAACGACACAGAATGACCGAGTTGGCCCAAGGCCGACAGGTCCGAAGCTACGAGGCCCGGAATGGGAACGCAGGCCCACGGCCCCAATACAAATTAGGGGATATCGTGAAGGTGAGGAAATGTGCTCGCGAGGGTAAGCTAGCGCCACGATTCTTCGGGCGATTTCGTGTGATCGAACTCGGACCAAACGGCGTGAATACCGTGCGGCTTGCACCTGAGGTCTCCGGCAGCTGATCGGCTCGCCCAATCATCCGCCACGTGTCCTACCTTTGTCCCCTTCCTCCTTCCCCATCTTCGCACTCATCCGATTCCTCCTCCACTGCGGAAGAGGGCGACGACTACCTATCTCCTGTCTCTCCATCTCCTTCCTGTTCTTTCTCTATTACTCCGTCACCATCGCCATGAGCTTTGCAACGGAGCAAGTGATCGGCGCGCGGCTACTTACTCCGCGAGGGCGAATCAGTGTTATACGGCAGGTGCAGCGGCCCCATCTCTGCTCTGATCTCCTCCGGTTCGCAGCCTTCTTCAACACGGCGGCAATCTACGAGGCGGCGGAATCCGATTCACGGAGGAGGCAACTACGTGTTCTGGCCGAGATCTCGGCCTTCCGACGGCTATCCCCCCCCGGGATTAGCCATATCGCCGTCGTCGTCGTCTTTACAGGGGATATCACAGTGATCCCGCCGGCGATTCACTCCGACATCTATCGGACGTTGCGCGCCTGGGCCGGGGAAGTGCAGGCAGCGTGGACAGATCTCCTTGCTCGACGAGGAGATACCATTGTGCCGGCACATGACACAGACTTCCAGCTCTGCTCGTCTCGAGGGTCGCCAGCGATCGTGCTTCCTGAGCTTTGTCCCTTCGCGCCGCCCCAATGAGTTATCGTCGCGTCTCCTATTTCGGCCTCCCCTCCAGCATCCCCACCCTTTGGCAGTCTGCGCGAACCCCTACTCTCTCCTACCGTATTAAGGAGAACAGTGCGCCGCTATTGAGCGAAGAGAAGTGGGACGCATGGTGGGAGAACTACATCGAGCTCGCTTTTTGTCTATTGGAGATAGAGTTCCGCTGGTCAGAAGCAGCCCCGTTCGGAGAAGGACCAGAGCACCCAGAGGACAGCGTGGAGCTTCTAATCATCCAAGCCTGGAGAACGGCGGAGCAGGGCGATCTGCTGGGATTCGTATTCGGGAAGGTGGAGGAGGGCAATCTCGCTTTGATCACGGACGAGTTGCTGGTGTTTTTGACTCGGCTGGTGGATGATCTGCCCCTAGACATCTTGTCACGTAGTGACGCGCAGCCTGGCACCCACATGTTGTCTCGAACGCTCGAGCCGCACCTTGTGTGGTCCACGTGTACGGAGATTGACGAGGACAACTGTCTCTATCCCTCCCAGGTGCTTTACTTGGAGATTAAAAGAAAAATTCAAAAAGAACGAAGCAAATTCCCACGCGATGTCCGCGCCCAAAAGTTTGGAACCGAAACAAAAGAAACGAGGTCAACATTTATTAGTCGAGCGCGCGGTGGCGCGTCAGCCATTCGGTCAACCAATCAATCAACCGGCCGTCATATGACACACCCAGCTCCGAACCCAGCCATTCGAAAAGAAGCGACGAAAAAGACGAAAAAGCAAGGACACCGATGCAATTTCCCACCGATCCCGATCTCGCGTAATTGGCTCAACCTTCCCAACTTAGGACCCCTCAACGTAGCTGCGCAGAAAGTCGCGCGCTATAGAAAGTGGTTCGTCACATATGTGACGCCCAGGGGGTTCCAATATTAGCAAGCTCCTGCTTGCTTGTTGACACGTGTCGATTTCTCTAATCGACCGACACGCGGAGCTCTTCTTTCTATGCCACTTACCGTTCAATTGAGTGTGGACGTCTTCCAGCGTGGCATGCAAGCTCTACTACTATTTCCTCAGGAAGGGCTATTGACAATCCAAGGAAAGGGGGGGGGGGGGGTCACACCTGTCGTAGACTGACACGTGGCAGCCAACCATGCATCCGTGCACAAAAAAGGAGAGTAGACCCTAGACGTTCCCGGGGAATGGCAGTCGGATCATCGAGGGTGGAGGTGGCGGATGGTTCAGCGGGAGAGGGGGCATGAATCGATTGATGGCGGGAGAGGCGAAAATCAGGAAGGGTAGCGTAGTGGAAGGAGTGATGGATGCGGGGGAAGCGAGGGACCTCATGAAGATGGTGAAAAGTGGCGATGGAACAGCAGGGCGACCCGAAAATCTTCGTAGTTTTCGCAGGCGGGAATAGTTCCAAATATAATACAGTATATTTCTACGTGGTTTTATTCCTGCCAGTTTGCGCTAAACAGGAGCACATGAAGGAGAAAGGAATCAACCACAGAGCGGGTGGTGGCATCGGGGAACGGGGGTCTATCGGGAAGACGGGTAAGCATGAGGTAGTCACGGGGTCGGCGAGAGAACGACCGGGGACGAAGCCCGAACGTCGAGATCTTGATGTAGACGAATGGAGGACAAGGACGGGGAGCCGGAGGGAGCTGGCGATTCACTTTTTCTTTTTCTTCTCCGCGATCCCTCTGCTGCGGTTCCATCGTCTTCTTCTTCTGGCTGTTCCGGATCACGCCACGGATCCCCGATCGACGGATCGATAGGAGAAATGTTTGTCGCGGGTCGCTTTCCCTTCGCGGTCTCCTGGCGCTTCCGCTTCCTCTGCTCTTCCTCCTCTTCGTTCTTTTTATGCGGCTGGCTCGATCCCCTAGCTATCCCCGTTTCTCCTTCCGGGACGTAGTCTGGATCGTCCTGTTCTTCACTCGATGGCTCCTCTTCTTCCTCCTCTTCCTCTGCTGCCCCTATCTCCTTGTCCTGCGCCGCGTTTCTCCTGGCGATCGGGTCCCAAAACGTGAGATCGGTAACGTCAAATTTTGTCGAGCCCCGATGACTTTCGGAATTTTGGACTTTTCTTCTGAAATTTGTACTTTTTGCTTCTTCGCATTAGATAGGAATTTAGGAATTTCGTAAGTAGGATTTTCCTTGCTGCGCGGCGCTTTTTGTCTACTCGCTTCTTCATGCGGCTGCAACGGAACTCTGATTAATAGGCGCCTTTAATCGTGTTTGTAACTGTAATTTTGGGCAGGCGCCATTGTTACTGTATCTTTCTTCTTGTGCTTCGTCTTTCCCGCCTTTCTTCTCTTTTTTTTGCTGTGTTTTTGGTAGTCGCGGTCTGCATGATCGAATCGATGCATGGAGAGCGGCTACGTCCCCCACGCCGCGATCAGACCATGCAGATGCAGGCAATCCCTCCCCCTTCCCTTCTTCTAAGTCCTTGTAATTCCGTGTTGTTCGCGCATGCATGCACACTATAAATTCTGGCTGCGCGATTAGTTAGCTCTCTTAACCAGCTGTTGGAAGCTCAGGGTTGTGCGATCAGAGAGGGTCGGCACCCGAGCGAAGTAAGAGGTGAGTAGAGAAGGAGTTGGGCGACCCGACGAGCTGGTGCCAAACTTGCGGGGTTGACGCGGGCCACGACAGACTGTGGGCGCGGGCGAACCCGACGGGTGCGGGAGGACTAAGCGGGGTGACGGCTTCGTGGGTTGGTGCGCGACGACGGACTATCCGCATCGGAGAAGAAGAGAGAGAGAGAGAGAGAGTTGAGATTGATGGACGTGGAGTTGCTGTTTCTTTTATCTTTTCTCCCTCCTGTCTCGTGTATATAAGTTCTGACTTCGGCTCTGGGCGATTTGTCCGATTTTTGTTTATTGGAATTTGGACTTGAGTTTTTGCTCACATTTGCCCT